ATTAACTGCACCATCGTTTTTTTATCGTTTTAATGCCATTGAAGACCAGTTTTGACCAAGGTAAGCCATGTTAGCGTTTCTAGCTACCTAGCTCCACATGTTATGATGTACGCTTTCGTTTATAGCGTCACAAATATTTATCACTGAGTGTTGAGGTTTTTTACACAGATTCTGTGTCTCCAGGAGATGCAAAACAAGTGGTTGGCTGTGCATCTAGGATAAGTAATAAGGGAGTTATGAGTGAGTTTAGGTGCAGTTTTAGGTTACATTTTTTCGCCCGTGGCTAATTCAGAGGCTGAGTGTTAGCATTGTGGGTTTTTTTTGGGAAAAAAAATTAAAAAGATCAGTTAGCTGAGTTTCTTCCCGTTACATGGATATAAAACATTCATAGTTTATTAAATATTAAGATTCCTTAGACGTTGTTTCCTGCAAATGACGCGTTTATCCGCCCGGTACCGGGGGGGCGGTGCGTAACAGGTTAAGATGAGATCAATTAAGGAGGATTTATTTGGGAACTTAATGTTAGGGCGAGTAGGACTGTCTACAATCTGAGTAATATTCAAAGAGATACAAAGGTTTTTTAAATCCTCTGACACAGAAGTTAACCAGTCCCAATAGGCTAGTTGCACGGGATGACGTATTTCCATTTCCGGTTCATTGAGTGGGCGCTTGTAAACATCCGGTCTACGGTAGAGCGGTAGAGCGGGTAGATAGCGATGCGATATAGATAGCGATAGAGAGATAGATAGAGATATAGATAGAGAGATAGATAGAGAGATAGATAGATAGAGAGAGATAGAGAGAGATATAGATAGCATACAGATAGCATACAGATAGCATACAGATAGAGCAAAGTGAGAAGGCTAACGTTAACGTGATGGCACTATTTTACACTCGATGTCTCCAAGACCTACCGAAGGTTAACATCAGTGACGTACATCGGCTGGTACAAGCGGCAAGCTCAGCCCCGAGGAGCAAAAGAGAAAAGGGGTTCAAGATGTACATATCCAGTTACATCGACAACTATGAAGGTAAGTGACAAACAAAGCTGTAGTTACTGGCTAACTTTGACAACTTGACAGTCTTGATACAGTGTAAAGCGTTTTAATGATGTACTATTACGTGTTTTGGATAACATGAATGATGTCCAATTCCCCACAGTTTCAAACAAAGATCTACCTTCAGGGAGAGTGAGCGTCAGGGCTAGCTGTTACAGGTCCATGAGGAAGCATGAAAAGCCTCACGATCTCAGAGTAGGGAGGAAAATAAAAAGTGTTCATCGGTTCAAAGCCTCAATCAGGTTCATGTTCTGGGGTTTTGATGTGGCTAGAGTAGGTAACCTGTGATTTAGGATTCAAAAAAGCCCAGCTAGCTGACGTGTTGCAACAGATTGCATAGTGACAATAAATTAGCTCACATCAACTGGTAGCTAACTATGTGTGTGTAGCATGAAGGGGCTACAGATTTATTTTCGTTTTGTAACCCTCTCGTGTAAAATGATAAATACATTAGCTAAACCCAAACTTAGCTTTCATCAAAGATTCTTAATGAGAGGTTGAAAACCGTCTCTGCTTTCATGGAAACCCCAGAAACTGGTTGTGACGGCTGCTGTTCTTTACTGTATGGTTAGTATAATCCATGTAGGGTCCAGTTATTTGTATGGGCCAGTGTTAGGTAAGTGCTGGTTTTGTACCCTACATCTATGTTAAGCTGTTCAACGTTCTACTAACACTATTTTATGTAGTTATAATATAATAAGATAATAAATTGAGACAGCTGAGAGAGTTTATCTGTTTGAATGTCCTTAAATTACAGTATTCCAAACAGCAGAACTTCTGTGTATGTGATGTGACTGATAACCTGACATGGTTTAGCCTTTTCCCACACCTACTACTTGCCTGATCAGCCTGCTCTCAGCTTTCTCATTTTTCTGTGTTGTATTGAAGCAGTGTTCTAAATGTAAAATGACTGACATTTTATTTTAATGTGTAGATTGTCTTTGAGAACTGCTCACCCGTGGAGATTGCAGTGGCAAAGTGTTCCTGTGTAGCTGGAACAGCACTCTGCAACCACAATGTTGCACTGCTGTTCCAGACCGCACACTACTCCACACTCAACCTGGCTGCTGTACCCCCTGTCCTCAGCTGCACTGAAACAGAGCAGTGATGGCACAAGCCAAGAACCATGGTAGGTACAGTATGTGTTCACAACCAATCCACGGTTTAATGAGTATTTCCTTTGTGCCAAGAGCTGATCTAGTATGTTGCATCAATGACCATTTCAATTAATTTGACAATTCTTTTGTGTAATTAATAGGGTGTGAAACCAGGCAGAGTGAGTGACATGGTGTTCATTTCCACTAAGCCAAAGCAGTTTACAGTTGCTGACGGTGTAAGGTAATATCTATTGTCCTAAGTAATTGTATGTAGCCTGCAACAACTTTGTGATTGTTGTCTGAGTGTAAAATTGTTCTTAAAGTCCTAATTATTATATAAACATGTTCAAAGGAGTACACATTACAAGGCCGTGCGGGGGGTGCTGCCAGACCCAGATGTCCTCAAAGTCAGCGAGGTATACAAGGACTTCTCAGCAGACATCGCACCACTGATCACCACCATGGCTATAAGTGTGGACGTGCCACTGGTTAACTCCACCTTTGGAAAAGTTCAGGAAGGTAGCCCTATCTCATACCAGCATCCACTACCTCTTAGCCGGGTTATAGTGCGTCACCCAGATGCCCCTCCACCACCACCTCTACCTGTGGATGGCTATAGGCTGGAGCCTACCACCTGTGAGTTTGTGTGCAGTCACCAACAGCACCTCCATCTACTGTCACTTGCGACAACATTGCTCATGGCAAGGAAAATCGAGGTGGCCACAAGGGAGCATAGCGACAGTGTGGAATGGCACCGTGTTAGGAGGCCAAGAATAACTTCTTCCCGTTTCAGGGAAGTATGCCATGTTCGAGGTCAGAGTTCGGCTGAAAACTTGGCACAACGGATTCGGAAGGGAGTGGCGCAAACGGCATCAATGAAGAGGGGACTGGCACTGGAACCGGTTGCCATCCAGGAATACTGCCGGATTAAAAACACCAATTACTGGCCGTGTGGGTTTGTCATTCACCCAGATGCCCCCTGGTTAGGGTCATCTCCTGACGGTCTGGTGTTTGACCCAACTGAGAGCCCACCTTTTGGACTTGTTGAAATAAAATGCCCAAATGCAAAAAGTTATGTGGACTGTAGCTACTTAAAAATGCAAAGTGGCACATTAAAACTGAAGCAGTCTCATAGCTACTATTGGCAGGTGCAAGGCCAGCTCCTACTCACAGGGATGGAGTGGTGCGATTTCGTCGTTTTTGCAGAGGAGGATATCCTTATACAGCGTATCTGCAGAGACTGTGAGGTGGCTACAACCATTAGGGAGAAGGGAGATTATTTTTATTTTTATTTTTACATGGACTGATATGCACTACACTACATTAGTGTACCACACTACATCACACTACATTACTGATCTAACATGAATATTTTCCTGTATATAGTTCTTTCAATTGCTAAAACCAGAACCAAGTGTGTTCTATAAGTCAAAAAGATCCTTTAGTCAAAGGACCTATGTGAGGAAGAAAGGGGTGTTTATTGGCAGACATTTAATGTCATATGACGTTATTCATTAACAAAAGTTGTGGATGCTAACTAACTTATCTTGCATTGATCTGTTCATCTGTTACATAAACTAGCATTACTTAAATATGCAGAGACTAATTGAAATGTTTAAATATGTATTTTTTTCCCCCGATATCACATCAACCTATGTTTTGTAAAAGTGTATTAAATGAATCTGTAAAATGTTATCATATTGTGGATTTATTATATTATGTATTGTCCTATGTTATTTTTGTGTGCATTTGTTTTGAGGTTATAATTCATTAGTACCTAAACATAGTATGGTATGACTGCTTTTTGTAACAACCACAATGAAATACACAATTGGTTTGGGAGCAAGAAATCTTTTAATCATTGCTGCCCAGGCTTGCCCATGCTTTCACCAGTGGTCCGTTCTGGTAGTTGACCAGGAAGCAAGCCACATTGAAAAGCTCCTCAATGCTTCCACACACAGACAGTGGTATGGCTTTGTCAAAGAGTTTGTTCTCTTTGACCCTTCTGATGCACCTCTCCACATGGACCCTCAGACGTGCAATGGATTGAGTCTGCCTGACATCCTCCCTGCTCATTTGGGGTTTTTTTTACAGAAAGGCAGGCCGGTAAACTTTGCACTCAACCAGATTGTCCACAAGGAACCCTTTGTCGACCATTATTGCCATGTCTGGTGTGAGCAGGCTCACGATGCCAGACAGCTTGAAAATCTCCCGGTCACTCATAGATCCTGCATACAGGCCAGACACAAATGTAATGGCACCATGTGGTGCCATGCCGATCATGGCCTTGAATGTAGCATGAGACTTGTATGTTGAAAACACCTCACTCTGCAGCAGGAGAGATGATGGAGTCTGGCAGAATACTTCAGTGCAGTCAAGCACCACTTGTGTGTCAGGGAAAGCTGAAAACTCTGGTGGAAGGTGAGCTCTGACAACTTCGCGTGGGATCCACAGACGTTGGCTTCCAAGCAGTTGGTACAGGAAGTGTGTCCAGGTGGAAATAATTCTGCTGACTGTGGTGCGGTGATGCCAAACCGTTCTGCTAGATCCCTCAGATGTAGGCCCACTGACAGGTGCATGAGGAACAGCAGCAGCTCATCTATGGGTGGAAGTTTCTGTGAAAACAAATAAGTGTTAGGCATACTGTAGATACTGTTATAGGGAGACCGGGTACAGTTGTAACACATTTTCCGTTTGTATGTGTGTGTGTGTGTGTGTGGCATGTGTGTGTGTTGTGTGAGTGATGTGATGCACTTGTTAAACGGTGGTATAGTGCGCAGCGTGCATAATTATTAATATACATCCATGCTTGTATGCTGCATACCGTTGTTGTTGGTTGAGAGGAGTCCGAGCTGCTGGCAGAGGATGCCTTGGCGTTGGTGATCCGCACCATCTTGGTGTTGGCTGCTGGCTCCACCAATTTCCAAAAGGCAAGGAAATGCTTGTATGTGGCAAATCTAAGAATGTAATATTGTTCATGTTAGACATTGTTTTGTTTCTTAAATTAGCTTCCTCAAATGAAAGGTGTTTTTCAAACTAGTGGCCATAACAACATCCTGATAGCCTTATAAACAAACCTGGTGTAGAAACGAATGTCCTCGTCCGACCCTGCCAGGCGTTGTATCCCGAAACGAGATCGCAGTTGTAACACTTCCAGCTGGTGTTGGAGCTCCCTAACCTGCATTTTCAAGGCTTCGTTCTCGTCGGCCACCTGATTTGCCATCACTGCCGTCGCTGGATTTAAACAGTACTCATGATCAGGCAGCGCAACTGTTTCCACCTCGTACTCAGCTGTCAAGTCCGGGGTGGGGCTCTCTGCCCTCGGCCGACGCTCCCAAACATTACGTCTTGGTGTAGGTAGCTCGTAGTTATTCCATGCAAAGAGAACAGGTGTAGCTCCTTTCTGTACTCTGTGCAGTCCTCCCGCTGTGACCAATAAGTCTCCTGGTCGAAAATGCCTACTGCACACACGGGTATTTTTTGTGGGGCTGAAATTGTCCCTACGGACCTTGATCAGCCACTGAGCCTTTACCTCAGCATCAATGGGAAATGCATGGAAACATATCTCCCGATTATAACGGGCCGAATTCGTACACAGTGGCACACAGCAATGTAGTGCCGACTTTCTTACCCGCTGGAAGGCCAATCGCTTTTCTTTACCCCGAAATCCGCTCATTCTTGCTCTTGGTGTGTCATAACAAACTGTCAAACTGTCAAGCTGTAAAAACTCTGTACTCAAACCGGAAGTACTCGCCCCCACACCCACCCGCCGGAAGTTGATAGACGCCATCTTGTGCACAGAGCCTATTAAAATCACCAAGCAGCACTATTTCCTTGTAGTCAAGTTGAGATAAAAGTTTTGCCAATGAAGATAAAGAGTCCTTGACAGCTGAGGGGGGTCTGTAGCAGCCCACCACCATGACCTATTGACCCTTTGCTAATTCGATATTTAAGGCTAAAAATTCTAGTTGTTTACTGATTGATTTGGAAACCATCTTGGTTACACAAAACTTATTTTTCACATAAATGACAACGCCACCACCTTTTTTAGGACGGTCGGTCCGATATACACTATAACCATTTAAGTAGATGTCAGAGGCCAAAATAGATTTATCTAGCCACGTTTCTGATAAGACAATGACATCAGCGTCAGTCGAGCTCGCCCAAATGCGGACAAAATCTAACTTAGGTAACAGACTGCGCACATTTAAGTGAATGAATCCCAACCCAGACCTAGAATTAAAATCAGCAGGAGTAGCAATCTGACTACTACTGCTACTGGGCGGTCCAGGGTTAAGTTGTACATTCCCTGATAATAATAATAGCAAGAAAACCAGGCACCTTTTCCTCTTAATCGACACACACATTGTCATCTGCTTTAAAATCACCAGCAAACTCCGCGAAAGTGAGATTTGAGCTCAAGAAGCAGTCCTGAAGAACCATCATAGCAGGCAAGTGAGAAAGACAAACATAATTTGTCGAACTGAATGTCTGTGACAAGGCAACCAGTAATTGTTTGTGTAAGACATCCGAACCTTTACAGGGGATGTCCACTGCGGGCGGTAGAACAGACCTGAATCCAGTCGACTTCTCAGGATGACGAGAGAACTTCTCATTGTCCAAAATAGCTAACAGGCATAGCAGAATCACGATAGGGGCCATTTTCCCAGACCAGCACAGCATCCGGATAGGCGCACAAGCAGGCCCGAAACGTGGAGGCGCTCCGGTCTCTACGCGATATCCCCGGTGCAAAACCTCCTCAGCACAGCAGTATAGGATAGGCGAAGCAGGCCCAGCTCGAGACGTAGAGGCGCTCCGGTCTCTCCACGATGTCCTCGGTGAAGATCCTCCTCAGCACAGCAGTATAGGATAGGCGAAGCAGGTCCAGCCCGAAACGTAGAGGCGCTCCGGTCTCTCCGCGATATCCCCGTGGTAAAACCTCCTCGGCACCGTAGAGCACGACAGGTGGAGCAGGTGGATACAGGCCTCCGCTACAGCAGGTGTAAAGCAGGCCGCAGCCCGAACGCGGAGCCGCTCCGGCCTCTCCGTTACGGCCTCTCCGTTACGTCCCCGGGGCAAAATCTCGCCAGCACAGCCGCACACGACAAGTGGAAGCAGGTCCCTGCCACAGCACAAACTGGACAGGTGGAAAAGGAGGCCCAGGCCCGAGCAACAACGTGCAGCCGCTCCGTCTCTCCGCGACTTCCCCGGGGCAAAAACCTCCCCACAGCAGCACAGCACAGGTGCACAGGTAAACCTCCTTTCCACGCCGGCGGAAGAGAGGCAGCCCTGCCCCTCACTTTCCACGCTCCGTGAGGCGGATGAGAAAAAGCGCTCCGCTCGCTCTGATCGACGAATCTAAAGTGAGCAGCGAGAGTGTCAGAGATGAAAATAATATCATATATTATAATGTATTGTATTATTAAGTCATATCATACATTAACCCCATTATAGCAGATGCCACATTGAATGGATGAACACATTTATGCATCAATAATTACAACGGAGTATTTCTAAATACAAGTTGTAAAAATACTTATATGTATTTAATACTAATAACATAATGATTAATTTTACTTTCTGATGATAATACTTTTCAGGGTTAGGGTTAGGTCCGGTCTGACAGCGCTTAGCTCTCTGCTGCAGAGAGGAAGAGAAGATCACTGCTCTAAACAAGTCAAAAATCGTACATCCAAACGGAATAAATATCCGGAAAATCTGCCACTTCCTTATAGAGCCCCTCCTCCAACACACACGAACGCGCACATGACCAATGAGGGCACGAGATAAGTTTGTGCACAGATGGAAGGCTGACAGGCAGGTAAGCCATCCAGTTATTTTAGCCGGGCCGGCTAAAATGATTGGTCGTGCTTTTTACAGTACTACGGCTTCCACAGATTACATTTTTTTATGGATTTTTTGTCAAAGCACTTAACCTCTTAACCTGTTAAGCCCTGAGCCTGTTTTTCAGGTCTCAGGCTCGAAAATGACATTCCCAGAACAAATGACCATATCTTCCCTTCTAAAAGGGTTAAATTAATAATCTTTGTTCTCAAAGTAATGATAAACCTGTGAGTTGGATGTAGAAAAGTCAGAATCAATATAGATGTTTTTTATTTTAAAGAAAATTCAGATTGAACATAGTAAAAAACTGTAAATTATAGTGTCCGTCCAAAAATAATTTTTTACTTATAGTGAAAACTACCCTTGGATGATGGGTTAGTAGACTAAAAGCTTTAGGAATCCAAAGTACAACATATATTAAGTACCCTGTATCAAGATTGATGCAAAACAAGTTAAATTTGACCTTTTTAGAGAGATTTAGCCAAAAGAAACCACTTCTGGGGTCATTTGGGTGGATTTGACCTATCTCTGGCCCCCCTTGGTCGATTTTGATGAATGAAATCTCTTTATAACCGCTAGAGCCAATGGAATCGAGGGAAAGTTCTATACACACCAAAACGTTAACAAATAAGGAGTGAGAGTGACGCGCAGGGGCGGATCTACGGGGGGACAGCTGCCCCCCCACTGTAGAGCATTGCCCCCCCAGCTGCCCCCCTAACTTTTGTGTCCCTAAAACTGTACTTGTAGAAACAAACCTACACTATGTCCAAAAGCTTCTCAATCAACTAAACAAGCAGTACATTAATTAAAAGTGAATAATTTTAAATATCATCTTAGGCCCGTTAAAAACGTAGCTACGGCCCTGCATTAAACTGCGGAGCGGCGTTCACACAGACCACGGCTCACACCGCTGCAGAGAGGGAGCGAGCTGTCCCAGCACCTGAGGGTGGATCAGCTTCCCCTGGGAGCATTTCCCCTTCGACTAGTTTTGTTTTTAAGGACGAGAGTTTGAAACAAAATATTAATAAACCGCTGCCGTTTGAATCGATAGCGTTTAACAGACGGTCGCTGTTTGGGATGTTACGTTACAAAATACTACGCAGACAGCGCTAGCTGGGAGATCGATCACTTTATTTGCTAAACTATGCGGTACTATTAAATCCACGTATATTACACATCACAGCAATGAGGCCAGCTAAATTAAACCAGCATACATCCTTTACCGTCAAACTGGATCTAAACGCAGCTGCCTGTGTGCGTTTGATAAATACTTTCTGATTTTATATTTAGTATTGGCGATGCTACTTATCAGCTACATGGCCCTAACGTGTAAAGTTGTAAGCATTTGTACCAGTGCTTTTCACAAGTAGACTCTTGCAGGACAGAGTAGCTGGAGTGAGTCAACAAAAATAAAAAGACATATCTGAGAAGTGATCAGGATGAGTAGAAAGAGGAAAAGGAAAAGACAGCACACTGAAGAGACCAGGAGGATCAGAGCAGGAGATGAAGACAGTAGTGAAGAAGAAGAAGAAATGTAGCCTATGTGAGGAATAAAGATGAAGTGTCAGAAAGAGGGACAGAGGCAGGGATCAGGAGGCAGATGAAACTCCAGCTGGACCACATGGTATGTTTGTATTGTCCTTGTATACATATTCCATTACAGCAGCACAATCTAGCAGCTCTTAGTATTGACAAATATTTATTGAAATGTGTTGCTGCACAGGTCACCTTTAGCTCTCTAAGAGATGGGTGATGTAATTTGTGTACTTAATTATAACTAAGTACTTTTACTGCACTTACAGTAAACAGAGTTCTAGGGCATTATGAGTATTTTCTGCTGTTTTATAATATATTTTAGTTTGTCTGTCTGAACACCTTGTTTCTCTTGTGCATTAAGAACACTTGTGTTAGGGCATGATTTAACAATAAATAGGTTATATATACAGTATAAAATACCACGTACGGTCCGCCCTCCCATGCCACCCTGGCATGACCTCTTGCCCCCCCTTTGCCACCCCATGTAAAATGTTCTAGAACCGCCACTGGTGACGCGTGACCAAAACCGGAAGCTGCATACACTCTGGTGGCTACCATTAGCAGCTAACTTTTCCGCTCCGATTTTTACATAGAAATGGAATTATGGATTATAAATATTTTTTTCAAAGGCACAGGTACATTATTAACCTATGGATCAACAGTTGTAGCATTTTTCTTTTTCGTTTTAATGCCATTGAACATGTATTTTGATCTAATTGACAGCTACGGTGAGACGATCTGCCGTAAAAGCTCCGTAGAGGTACGTGTTGTGATGTCTGTGTTTGCTTCCCCTGTCGCAAGTTCGGATCGCTCAGTGATGATACTATACCTAAATAATCTGTGGAGTCTCAGCTTTAATCGGATATATTGTATGTGCAGCTACGATAAGTAATAAGGGTATCTTTATCTTGAATTGTGTGCCAAAGTCAGTTTGCATTTTTTCGCTCAGGGGTCATTTAGACGCTTCTTATGAGACTTGTGTTTTGTTTTGGTAAAAATGGTTCATATCTTCAGTTAGCTGAGATTCTTCCCGTTAATCTGGTGCTACACATTAATAGTTTCATAAATGTTAAGAAGCCCTGAGACATTGTCTCGAAAACAAAACGGTGGGAGGGGTCCAATGGGGGGACCGTCGTCCTTAAGAGGTTAAGATATTCATTGCTATAGAGTGGCGAAGTCCCCTCCCCTTGTGGACCTCCATGGGACCTTATTTCGGAAAAATTATGTATTGAAGTCAATGGAGAGAGAAAGATTATCTTTCGATCCCGTTTGAATTGTGCCACGAATTACACATAT